ATACATCTGTAAGTAACTTACCATATTTATCCATTGTAATTACTGTATTTATCCATGCAACTGCAAAGTATCCGTGTAAAGTATATCTTAGTCAATGTTGTCTGTAATGCAAATTACGCACCTTTAATATGTAACCATTATGAATGCTGCAATGTAAACAAATGCCCGAGCATGGCTTTAGCATGCCCCGTGAGAGTGCACTTCCATAGATGGTTAGTGCAGTGGGGCGATACCAGTTTTGCCCATGGCGATGTTTTAGTGATCCATGTACTTCTTTCTGTCTGTCTGCTCATCAATAGTAATTAAGGAATGAAGTAATTGCATGTTAGTTTTTATTTCGATTTTTTTTTTTTCATTTAAAAAGGCCAAGCACTTTACCTATTAAACTGGTATTGTTTTTTTGAAAATAACCATAACAGAAGCGGTGGTGTAGCGTTGAGTGATTTGAAATTGTTAACACACTTGAGCCTGGGGTCATTTTCATCCTTGTTCTAAAAAAGAAAATCTACATTCCAAATAATTTTCATTGTATTTTTTGTAGCAGTAGCATTTCATTTTCTGGATGCTTTTCAAGGTTCAAGAATGTCTTTGTTAGTTATGCTCTGTGTCATTGTCATTCTAGTTGTGCCAGTGTCTTCTGTCAGCTGTTTCCTCATTATTATTATTTTTTTTTATCCCCAACTATTTGTCCATTACAACAGTATTAGACCTTAAAAGTAAATAAATAAAATATATGAAAATTTGACATGGCCAACTCTGATTATTTTTTGCTGTGTGAGTGTGAATCATTGTGTAGTAGCCAAAGTTTGTGCACATGTGTTTAGCTATCGGTGTACAAAGTAAGAGAACAGACAAATTGGAGTAAAGTTATGATTCACCAAGTTAAATTCTTGGAAATGTCTACTGCTTATTTTAGTATTGGATCAGTGGGGAATAATCATTAGTAACTCGGGACATCGTCATAGACCATATAGATGCAAAATCTTGACCTACAGGGGTTGGACAAAAATATGGAAACACCTTTAAAAAAGACATGTTTCTTTGCTTAATAGGGTGTAGGAAACCCGTTGGCATCCAAAACAGCTTGCAGTCTTCTCGGAATGGATAAATATAGTTCCTGTATGTTGCTAAGAGAATATTATACCATTCTTCCTGCAAAATGGTGGCAAGTTCAGATAACGATGTTGGCAGTGGATAACGAGAACGCACTTTCCGTTCCAATGTAGACCACAAAGGTTCGATAATATTCAGATCTAGAGACTGTGGTGGCCAGGGGAGATGGGACAACTCATCCTCGTGCTCAAACCAGTCCTGGACAATGTGAGCTGTGTGAACAGGGTCATTGTCGTCTTGGAAGACACCATCACGATCGGGGAACAGAGTTTGTACCATGGGATGAACTTGATCAGCCAAAATGTTCACTTAAGTCTTGGCAGTCATGTGCCCTGACTCAGTTATCATGGGGCTAGCAGAGAACCACGATATGGCTGCCCAAAACATAACAGAACCCCCGCCATGTTTCACTCTTGGCAACAAGCAGTCTGTATTATAGGCTTGAGATGGCGTTCTCCAGACGTAAACTCGGCCAGAAGTGGGAAACAATGTGAAAGAAGACTCGTCAGACCATATTACTCGCTTCCACTAGTCTATAGTCCAGGCTTTATGACTTAACCCTTTGCGACACGCATATTTAAAATATATTTTAATCTTTAAAAAAATGCCTTAGAATAAGTCAGATGAACTTACTTAAGTGCCTTTAAGGCTTGAAAAAAATTCTGCGCTTTTATTTTTTACGGGGGAAGGTGGGATACCGTTTGTCCCACCATGCAACTAGCACATGTCTTATAGCATATTGGTGTATAGCAGGAAAAAAAAAATCATATGGGGAATGAATAAACAAAATAAAGCGTGCATTCTAAAATATTCTTAATAAACACACTAAAATGCATTTCGTACTTATTGCATATATGCATGACTTGTAAAATTTTGCATATGCACATTTTGCATATATATATTTAATATTTTTAAATTTTAGGCACAAAAGAAAATATTTTCTTGAATATTATTTTAAGATTAAAATTTGATACACGTACATATGATACTAAATAAAATATTAATATTGGCACTTGATTCAAAAACATTTATATATGATTAAAATTGAAAAAAAGTCATTTTTCATGAAACTTTGAAAACCATGTTGTTTCATTCTTTTGTAAACATAGAGGCACTTCACATGTTTCACACATCCAAAATGTTCGTCGTTCTTCTTTCGATGTGCTGCAATATGCACATCTTCTCCTGCTCTTTCTCTTTGGCGTATGACTTACATTTTTTAGTCTCTTTTCTGGTTGTACGAAAGGGGGTTTTAGTTTTTATTTGAACTGGGGATTTCAGTTTTCTTTTCTGCTCTTTCTTGCCTGCAAGTGCCGTTAGACCTTCTATAACTGAGAGAAGAAAATCTTTCATTGTGTTTACATCATGATTGGGTTCGCGAACAAACTTAAATAGAATAAATGCGTTAAATATACTCGCATTTAAAAAGTAAAACAAAAAAATCATGTGCCACCATTTCTTGCTTTTGCGGTATATTTCATATAGTCCTTTCAGTTGATCAATCAGTCGACATATCCCATGTTCTTATTGTATGAAATAATGCTGTTTGGGCACAGTACTTTTTTTGTTGTTGTTGTTGTTATTGTTTTTCCATCTCGTTCTTTTCTATTAATTTCTTTTATTTCAGTTGACTTTTCCAAGCAAGACAGGAATAGAAACGGATCTTTTATCCTTCCATTTTCTACAATAAATTAAATCAATCGCTAACTGAAAAGTCTATATATTCCTCTTGACATAAATTTGTCTTCTTTTAAATTTTGTGGGTAGATACTTCCGATTCATATTTACAGTGCCACATGCATAGATGGGTCTGTGTCTTTTAAAAGTGAAACAAATTATAGCTACTTCCCTTTCTTCTTCAGCAATAACTTCAACCTCAGTTATTCTCTCTTGGATTTCAATTTCATAAGAATCAGAACTGACATCTGAAGCATTTGAGTCAAAATCGGATGGCAATTCAGCAAAAAGATTTAAAGCTTCTTGAGTTGTTAATTTTTTTCTAGACATTTTAGCACATCAGAGCAATACAACGGATGTAAAAGTGCGCGCAATCACGAAAAAAAATAGATGCAAAAAAGAAAAGAAAAAATAATCGTGAGTGCTGCCATCTATTGAGCGGAAATTCAAGTGTGTGGTGGGACAAATTTTAACCCACTTATTTCAACTGCAAAATTGTTATAAAATATTGAATCCAATTCAGATTTTTGAAAATAAAATACCTTTGAATATTAAAAAGAATCATACATATCATAAATTGTATACCAAAATTTTTAAAATATTGAAAAATGCGAGATACATGGATATCACTCTTGTGATCCTATTTTGAATATTTTTTGCTTATAAACTTAAGCCCTGGTATTGTAGTGACATCTACTGAGAAAAATAATAACTAAAATAGATTTTTTTTAAAAGATTAGAAAATTTCTAACGGAAATAGCTAACTGAGAAAATAAATATTAATTAGGTGGGACATATATTGACCCACCATGCCGCAAAGGGTTAAACACCACCTTTTCCTGTTACGGGCATTAGCATCACTGATGAGTGGCTTCTCAATTGCAACACGGCCAGCAATTCCTTGTTTATGAAGCTCCCTTCTAATTGTTTTGGTACTCACAGGGTTCGGTAACACAACATTCATTTCAGCAGTAACTTTTGCAGCTGTGGTCTTCTTATTTTTCGTCACAATTGCCCTTAATGATCGTCTGTCACGATCACTCAGGACACACTTTCGTCCGCGCTGTGATTTAGCAGATGATGTTTTTCCACTTTTCAAATATGCGGAATAAATCTTCGATACAGTACCTCTTGAAACACTAAACACCTCGGCTACCTTGCTTACGGAAGCACCTACCATACGTGCTCCAACAATTTGCCCACGTTCGAAGTCTGTTAACTCTGACATAATGCAATGACAACCTCACATAACAGTACTCCGACAACAACTGAACTGTTTAGCACATTTACGAAGTTGTATAGGTGGCGTCAGTAGTCAAAAACGCCAGCGCCACCTACATATTTCATTAAAATCAATCTTTCTTTTCAAACATGCATTTCACAAGGTGTTTCCATATTTTTGTCCATCCACTGTATGTCCTGATGTATAACATATCAGTTAAGAAAAGTTCATGACATGAGACTATAACTCAAAAATAAATTGAATGTGAGAAATGTTGAAAATATATTTACATTCATGAATATACTTATATTTACCCACTAAAGAAGTCCATATTTGTCATACTCATACTATATTATAAAAACTAGCATGTAACTAGCATATGCCAGGAAGGCTGTTGCTGTATGCAGTTTAGGGAAAGGGCACCAAAATTGGAAAACATGTATATGTATTCTGAATAATAGAGATTGGAATAAAATCTTAAAAGCGTGTCATTTTACTTTTTACCGTCAAAAATAATGTAATGTACCATAGTTTTAGAAACCTTGCCTTAGGCAAATACCCTTAATGTATTCTGCCATAATCAAATATTCCAGTTTAATTTTAGTAACTGCTTATAATACTTTCTTCTTTCAAGTTGTCATTTTCCTCCTCTTGTATTACATGTTGCATCTGTTCCTTGTCATTAACTGTTAATAACAAACACATGTATAGATTTAAAAACAAATGTATTTGTCATTATTATTGTGAGATCATCATTGTGACTAAACTAAGAATGATGGCTAAAGATGCAGGGCACATTTAATAAACAGCAAAATTTTACATTCATTTGGCATTTAAATATAATACAATAGAAAGTTGAATTTTCTTTTTAATTAAGGAAGTGTGCTATCAGAATTGAGAGCTAACAACATTAAATTAAAAATGTTGTATGGTAGTATTTATTTTAAATAAAATTTTTATTCAAAAACTGCTTGTTTGTAATTTTCAGCAGAGGCAGAAAAGTTTGAAGTACCTGATAGAAGATCTGAAGCTCATCAGAAGAGTTGGGAAAATCTTGGTATTTCTAGTTCTAATGTCTGGAAAAAGAAAGCCTCTGAAAATTCCAGTGATCAAGATGTAAGTATGAGTTGAGTTTAATGTAATACATAACCAATAATGTATTGAGTTATTTATTTTGTGTTGCATTTAAAGTATTTAAGTATATTTTCTATATAGTCAAACGTCTTGAGGCCCTTTGAAATTTTAGACATACTTTTGAATTTCCAGAGGAAAGCTTAAAAATTAGAAAGGCCAGATGAATTGAATGGAAGAAGAAATTTCAATCTAAAATTATGAAAACAGTCTATTTCTTATTAAAAGCATATACCATAATTTCCAGAAGAAAGGCCGCATCAGCGTAAACTCCGCACTCAAGAAAAATGGTGGAAAAAACTAAAATTACGCAGAAAGGATGCAATAGATTAAATCACGTGTGACATCGTCATGGACCATATAGATGCAAAATCTTGACGTATGTCCTGATATATGACATATCAGTTAAGAAAAATTCATGACGTGAAACTATAACTCAAAAATAAATTGAATGTGAGAAATGTTGAAAATATATTTATGTTCATGAATATACTTAATATATTCAACCCACTAAAGAAGTCCATATTTGTCATACTATATTATAAAAAATGTTGCAACAATGAGATATTAATTTTGGATGACAAAAGAAAATTTTAAATTTTACTTACAAAGGAATTATAGTAAACTGTACATCAAACGAAGCCATCCAAATCTGATTCTTCACTACAGTACAAAGTCCGAAATCCGGACGTCCATTATCCGGAGTGATCTAAAATCTGGACCTCAAAGCTAGAAACATTCTTTTTCATTAATGCTTTACACATGCGCATTTGATATTTTCTTCCATAATAAAACATGTGGAGATTTCCATTTAAAAATTCTGATTTTTAATTTCACTTAGGCACTAAATAAAATACCTCGTTACGGAAAAACAATCATATAAGCATAAATTTGTAAGATTAATAATTTGGCTCCTTAGCTGAGGATCTACTTGGCATACATCTCAAACTGAAAACTATTTTATATCCCTGATGCCGACCTGGCGAGTCATTATCTATTATATTTTACTTTCATCACCGCATGTTTATCAATACATTGCTTCAGTAATAACTCATGCTGTAATATCTAAACTTTTTTTTATAGTATTAATTGAATAACTAGAGTATGACAACCTTTTATGCTAACATTATGCTTGACAATGATTATAGATTTTTAAGTGCTCTAAGAAATGTTGAGGAGGAAAAATTCAACAAAAATTTCTTTTCATATGTTTTGTTCATGAAATTAATAGGCCAAAAGATTACACTTAGTGCTGTTTTAATTAAGAATAACCAATATGTTATTCACCATAAAACCAGAAGCGGCAGTAGAATATGTTTGCACCGGACAGCAGATTTAGGGAAGACGAAATTTTTGGAATTTGGGGAAGAACCGAGCGGCAAAAAAGTCATGAGAAGTTTTTATGATTTAGGGAAAGCACTGGGATCCAAAGTTTAGGAACGGTGAAAATTTAGAACTTAGGAAAGCACTTTGTAGCAGAATTTAGGACCTGTAGTGACTGCACCAAGCGGTATCGTACGCCAGCCCTAGATAAAGCCTTAAGTATATGGGGGAGTTTATTCAGGACTCGGATTAGTTTGAAGCATGTGCAAGAAATAAACATAGGTATAGTAAATAACTAAACTAATACAATTCAGGCTCAATTCAGTATGCAATAGGATGAAGACAAAAATTTAGCGAAACAACTTGGCTTTCATTGCCAATCTTGTGATACACAGCAGATAATGTATAACTGATGCTTTTTAGCTAGGCTAAAATTATGTGTACTGATTCTAAGGCATTTCAATAAATGTAGCAGACTGCACTGCTCCCTAATCTTCTAATTTTATCCAGCTTATTATTTTTTGCAGACTGTTATTATTACAGCAATTTTATAAAAACTAAGGTTGAACTTTCGATTATGTCAAAAGGAGTTTCCAATTCTGGAGTTGCCAAAGGATCTACAAAGCGAAACCATGTTTTGATGTCCATTAAACAAAAAGTGGAATTGCTGCAAATGCCGCACTCGCTGAAAATTTAAGTTTTAAACACGTAAATGCCACAGTGTTTCTTCTGGAAATTATGGTATTTAAAATTATGTAAGATACTGAAAAATTGCATTTCACATATAAAAGCAGGTATATTTTTGTAGGCACTGAAATATGTAAAATACCTTAAACTGTTATGAAGTTCTTTCCGTCATGAAATTTACCAAAGACTCTACCAAACTTCTGCCAACCATACTGGCAGAAGTTTGAAAGAAGAAACTACTCTTTATTTAGTCAGATATCAACAGTTACAATTCATGGATATAACATATGAAAATCTTAAATTGCTTCTCATAATTTTTCATCTTGTATTGCCATTGTTTTATGTTCAAATAAGATGGCCATTAACTTATTTTGTTGCTAGAATCCTGTAACTGAAAATACTTCACAGAATGTTATTCCATAAAAAGGGGTCTCAGATCTTAATCAGTTTTTCAAAATGGAAAAGAAAAACAGATAAACAGCAATTAACTTAGTTATTCTTTATAAAAACTAAATCAAGAATTACAAAAAAAAATATAGCAGAAAACTAATAATATTTTCTGATATCACGCTTATCCATAGTTGGTGCTGAATTGTAGTGTGTGCCTGTGGTTTTTGTTTGCTGAAAATATTTCAGTAGTATTTCAATAAAAAACATTGCATGTAAGATTTTCATCATACATGCAATGTTTTTCTTTGGTAGAATGATGTAAACTGTAAATGATGTAGTTTCATTGATGCAGAATTCCCTTTGCTTATTGGTTATGATCAAATCTTTAAAAAGAAATTGTAGAAAATCTACTTTTGAATCATACATTATCCATAAGCTCTAAAACATGCCATCAAATAAATTCATGTTTAATTAATTTTAAAATTGGTGTGTTATAGTGGGCCCTACAGTTACCTGCCATTAGAATATATATTTCTGTCATTGCTTAGAAATATTAGAAAGTGCTTAGACTGTTATAATTGCTTAGACTATTAAAATGTGTGGTTCTTTTCTAAATTTCTGCTCCAAAACTTTTGGTTTCACATGGAATAGCCTTTTGTTCATTTCATATGGGATAGACATTAATTTGACATTCTTAAAGCAATGCCAACTTTCTGAATCACCAACAAGAAAATTTCTTAGAGCCTCAAAGAGATTTTTTTTTCCATTGTTGTAATGTAGCAATGCTTCTTCAGCTTTCCCCCCCTTAAATTATAATATATACTGTGACTGAAATCTGTAAATGCACTTGTTACTGGAGACAAAATTCGCTTTGCTTAATTATTTAGCAGTTTGTGTTGTTTTCCCCTTCAGAATAGGATTCAGTAGTAGGATATTTAGGCTTCTTTTATGTTTCCAAATATTAAAATATATTGGCTTTTAATTTTTTTTTCATTACTACCTGTAATGAAAGATTCTGATATAGAAATTTTATTCGAGGAAGTCCGTAAAATTCCAAAAGCTTTACAAATACTGCTTTTTGAGAAAGCTTTTTCTAAAATTTCTTTTATTTTCAAAACTTTTTTTTTTTTTTTTTTTTTTTTTTTTTTTTTTGCATTGGGGAAGCCATTATGTAATAAAAACTTAAGCTGAAGTCAATATTGATTTTGCAAAAATCACTTGACAATGATTCAAAAGAATCACTTGCTCAGTCTTAATTCTGTGACAATATCAAAAGCGCACTTCATTATTTTATTGCTCATCTTCACTTCAGTTCAATAGTAAAAGGGCAGTGGAAAGGATAATAGTATATATAAAGGAAATAACGAAGCTCAGAAAAGAGCAGCAATTAACACTAGGAGGATTTCTGTTTCACTAAAAGGAAAATTTTGAACAAAATACTGAAATCTTTAATAGACGTGCCGTAGGCTTATAAATTGTTGTGACACTATAAACTATACTGATATTTGAAATCTCATACTGTATGCAGTAAGTACAAGCTTTACAACTGTATATACTTGTCTAAAGTTTAACATGTGTCTCAGGAAACAAAATGACTCTATATCTGAGTAACCTTAGAAAATTTGACCGTTTATAAATGTAAGAGAAAATTCCCTCTCTCGTTTCCTGCATTTCATTATATTCACTAGTTTCTGTGAATGTACTTGTGACTTTATATTCACTTTTCCATGGAATTCTGTTACTGCTGATTTTATAATCTGTGAATGTCATCAGGCTCTTTGTTATCAATTTTGTATTGATAATTTTCATGTTTAAAAAATGCCCATTCTAGTTTTTGCATTTGCATCTTTATTTCAGTATTTTGATAAAACTATAGCTATGTACCGATTCTACTTCTGTACCTCATTTCACATGTTTCATTCCATTTATTAAGTATCAGTTGCAATACCGGTGTATGCATTAAAACTGGTGAAGTTCTTAGGTTTTATTAATTCTCCTTACTGTTTATGTATTGACTAATTGTAGTTATTTGTTTAGTTCTTTATGTTTTTGGAGTTCTGTTTTCCCATTTGACACTGATTGCTTTAGATGCTTTTTTTTGGGGGGGGTAGATGGTAGAAAACTGTGATTTTTTTCCCCTCATATTATGTTTATTGCTTCATTAAAATTTTTTTGACTGTTTTTTACACTTTCACGTTTTATGATTGAATTAAAACTGACATCATCATACCTTTACTAATTTAGAGAATGTTAACAAACAAATGAAAATAACGTATTAGCATACACAAATAAAAGTGCATTCCGTCCCTTTACTCCCTATACAAAATACCATAATATCAACCTCTGTTATGGAAATAAACTTCAAGTAGAACTGATGTTACTACTTCTTTTGGTGTTCATCTGGACTCAAAACTGTACTAAGTAGCTTTGATAGGGACAAGTCAGATTTGGATTTCTGAAGCATATGAAATCACCTTGGGCTCGAATTAAGATTTTTTGTAAACAGCCTACAAAAATATTGTGCATATTGCTGTTGAATATGGCAGTGAGATCTTAGTAATGACCTTTGAATCAAATAAGACCTT